GAGTGTGTGTGTGTGTGTGTGTGTGATTCCATTCTCCTCACTCCCCACTTGACTTCTGACCTCGACTCCCTGTGAACCCCTTCAGTTTCACACCCACAGTGTGTGTGTGTTTCTGGAGCGTGTCAGAATCAATCACACACATTTCACTTAAACAGATCTGACAGAGTCACGCAAAGCAGCAAAACACATACACACACACACACATACACACACACACACATACACACACACACACATACACACACACACACATACACACACACACACATACACACACACACACATACACACACACACACATACACACACACACACATACACACACACACTCTCTCACACACACACACACACACACACACACACACACTCACATATATACATATTTTACATATAACATTTTATTTCAGCTAGCTGCCAAGACAAAATTTCTCATTTAGTTTAACTTGATGTTCTAAAATAACTCAAACTAAATAAACCAAAATTAATAAATAAAACATAACAAAAAAACAGACATTTTAAAATCATAAAAATGACAAAAACACAAGATTTCTAAAACTTCAACTAAAATATAAGAAAAATATAAAAGTAACACAGAGGTGGTCTTGTTGGTCAGTTAAGCTCAGATTCATTGGTTAGCAGCTGTCAGGGTCGGGTTGGTTAACCCTAGAGGTCGTGACCTCCGACGTCAGTGTGGAAGACTCTCAGAAAGTCACAGTGAAGTGAACTGGAGCTCTGTCCGTCTGCAGTGACGTGTGCACCGCTCATACACACACAACCACACTGCAGCACACATCAGTACAGCATAGAAAAGATGGCATTTTTCAATACAAATATTTAGAGTACCTTGAAATTATTTTTGAAATTATTTTTAAATCTGATGGTGTTGGAAAGAGTAATGCAAGTGTTGATTGATTACTGCCACGACCAAAGCATCACTGTGGTATTTAGAAAAAACATTTAGAAAACATGGTAAAATGTTTCATTTGTATGTGGAAATATAACGGTCCATATTAGATCTGTCTCATATGAAATATTTAAATAGTCATATCATTATTCTAATGAAATGTATCAGTCATCATTATATCTTATAATATGTTGTATGAAATTAATTTAAACTCAGGTGTAAAAGTGTAAAAATATACTGAGGATATCATGAAAACTTCAAAGGGAAAAAAATCATTCACATAATTAGGGCAAAATCCATCAAATTCAAAAATTTGTAACAAAAGAATAAGGATATATAATATTTTTGGTTTGGTACATTTCATTAACTTAATTTTAGTCCCAAAAATGTTGCAAAAGTAAACTACACAATTTGGTATAGTTTTAGTCTAATGTTTTTATTGTCAGGATTACATTTAATCATATAGCAGACGTTTTTATCCAAAGCAACTTACAAACGAGGAAAAGGAGCAACAATATGTAAGTGCTGTACACATAGCAAGTTTCTTTTTTTGTTTTCTTGCCAAGAGAGCATTGCAAGAGAGAACAAGAGCTTGAACAAGGAGTTGTGTTGCATGTTCTGAAAGAAAGGGCCTGATCTTCCTAATGTTGTATAAAGCAAATCTGCAGGACCGGGCAGTTTTAGCAATGTGGTCTGAGAAATTCAGCTTATCATCAATCGCAACTCCAAGGTTTCTAGCTGTTTTTGAAGGAGTTATGGTTGATGAGCCTAACTGGATGGTGAAATTTTGATAAAGTGATGGGTTTGTTGAAACCACAAGCAGTTCTGTCTTAGCCAGGTTGAGTTGAAGGTGATGGTCTGTCATCCAACAAGAAATGTCTGTTAGACATGCTGAGATGCGAGCAGCTATCGTCGGATCATCAGGATGGAATGAGAGGTAGAGTTGAGTGTCATCAGCATAGCAGTGATATGAAAAGCCATGTTTCTGAATGACAGAACCTAGTGATGCCATGTAGACAGAGAAGAGAAGTGGTCCAAGAACTGAGCCCTGAGGCACCCCAGTAGCTAGATGTTGTGACTTGGACACCTCACCTCTCCAAGATACCTTGAAGGACCTATCTGAGAGGTAAGACTCAAACCACTGGAGTGCTATCTTATTATCATTGAGATACTATTAAAATGTTTTTTCAATATTTTGAATTATTTTGTTTTTGTACAATAAAACAAAACAATATTTGTTTTGTAATTGTGCTGTTTTGTTATTTTTATATGTTTGTTTTTGTTTTTTGTCCAACTGCATCTTATAAATCTTATGTTCCTTAAATCGTATGGTATTTTATAAGTATATCCTACAGTTATTTGTTGAAATCACGTTTTGAAGGGGAAGCAGTGGACAACTGCTCAGAAACGGCCCTGTCCGTCTGTCTTCAGCAGCACTCACCTGTAAAATCCGCTTTCCTGTTTTTTCATTCTTTCATTCCTGTGTTTTTCACTCTCTTTCCTTCCCTGTGGAATGTCTCTCTCTCACTCACACACACACACACACATACACACACACACCTGTGTTCTCAGGTAATGAAGGTAGCTGTCAGTCAGCGTGTGATTGACTGAGAGATAAACTCACTGAGGGTCATGTGACTTCCTGCTGCTGTTTCCATAATGACATCAATTAAGAACAGATCCGGCTCACGAGACACCCGATACACACACACACAGCATGAATAGAGTTGCAGCTGAATGTCTAATATTCGAGATGTTTAATGTTGTATAATGTGTCTGTATGTTGATGTGCAGGTTATGAAGCATGTAAAATCACACACACACACACACACACACACACACAGACGCAGGAAGCTCTCCTGTATTTGTGATCTTGTGTGTGATTGACAGGAGGATTGTGGATGTGTAATTATATTGATGTCTGTTACATGTCACAGTGACGTGAGTGTGTGTGTGTTCAGTCATTGCTGTTATTAGTGTCATTTAAGTGAATTATTTGATTTGAGCTCTAACACACTCCTCTCAGCTTTCTAACATCTTTAAAACACTATGTGACTCTCTCTCGGTGTGTGTGTGTGTGTGTGTGTGTGTGTGTGTGTGGGATCCACAGAAACGGGACCTCTGACCCTCTGGAAGCTCTTGCAGATCTGTGCAGATGGTAGCGAGAGACCAGACGGATCCGATTAAACCAGGTGAAGGTTTGAGGAGAAACTCAGACCTCCTGAACGACACACTAATGCACTCCAGATACACTCAGAGAGAAAGTGTGTGTGTGGGGTTTCCTGTCTCAACGGTGACGGCCGCCCATCACATCTGCAGCTAATCCAACGGCTCCAAAACGGGAAACTCTGGAACAATGCAGTGTGTGTGTGTGAGAGCGTGTGTGTTGTATATGTGTGTGTGTGTGCTGCTTACATTTGAGGGGAAAGTCCAACCACATTTGAGCTGTTCAGTAAACACACATTATGTGTGTATGTGTGTGTGTGTGTGTGTGTGTGCTGAAGTCATTCCAGTTGTGTTATTGCTCCACACAAACACACACTCACAGGGTGTTGGCAGTAGTTGAAACGCATGAGTTTTGGGACTCATCACATATATATTTATATATTCACTCTATACACGTGTTTTCTTTCCTCCTAATGACGGCTCTTCATCTGCTTCTCATTCTCTCTCATGCTGTTTCTCATTAGTTTGAGTGTTTGCTTAAAGTGTTTTTTTTTTTTTTTTTTTGGAAAACCATGATAAACTTTTTTCAAGATCCTATGAGTAAGTTACAAAAAACACAGCAATTATTTGAAATATAATTCTTTTGTTACATTATAAATGTCTACACTGATCAATTTAATGCATACTTGCTGAATATAAATAAATAAATACATGTAAAAACTTGAAGACCCCAAACTTTTGAACAGTAATGTAAATTTCAACACAAGCAAGGATTGTGAGACTAATGTACATCTTTAGGAAAATGAATGGCTAAAAAAAAACTGTAATTATGATATTCACAATGATGCTTAAAGTATGTCGTACCTTCTTGGATTTGACGATATCCTGGATGTAGTCACTGTACTCTGCCAGTTGTTTCTTCTCTCTTTTAGTCAGCGTCTTACTGCCCTGACTGAAGGAGATCAGAGCATTGAGAGGGCTGCTGTTAAACTGATGAAGTGACCATTAAAAAACAGAAATCAGCTCAAGAATTGAATTACAGTAAGTGGCACAGTATACTGAAAGTTTAAACACTAGCATTCATTGACTGCACTAGATTCAAATCTTGATATATTTTTCAGATACTGTATATCTTGACATATATTAATATATATTAATGCTACTTTAGATTAAGGTTTTTAAGCATCTTCCCTTAATAAACTCCTAATTTGCTGCTTATTGATAGTAAGTAGTAGCAGTAGTAGTAATCTAAGTAGCATCTAACGCTAACTTCATGGCAAAAATTGACTTGGAGTAATACAAGAGTTACATAAACACAAAATAAAAACAATGCAAACACAAAAATACAGCAGTTCAAATTAGAAAAATCTAAAATCTTTTCTGGTAAAATCCCTGAGTGAGTGTAGGTTATAAAAAGCTTTCTGCTTGCTGTTGATAGCAAGTAAGGTAGTTGTTTATAGTAGTTATGTTTAGGTATTGGGGAAGGTTAAGGGATCAAGAATAAGCTCATGCAGAATCTAAAGTGCTACCATATTAATATGAAGGAGATGCAGTGTGATGCAGGCAGGTCATTATTTTGCCATTCTTTTTGGTGACACTAACTTGACCTTTCAAAATAGTATGTAAAATAGTAAGCATAATGCAAATGATCATGTTTGTCACTAGACCTCATTACATGCATATTGAATTCTGTGAGTATTGTCTTGTGAACAAATTTGGTAATTTTGCAGTTTTTGAACCAACAGTATGTAAAAATGTATGTTTGCATTGTGAAAGTGGAGAAAATGATGTAAAAAAGCTTAATATGTTGCACTGGAAAAGGTTAAGTCAAGTTAAGTGCATTGTATTGTGGGATATGTTATTCCATGCTATATACTCTATTATATATTGATTTTAAATTTTTTTAAATTTTTTTTATATTATTGTAGTATCTGGCTATTCCATACAGAAAATTTACATACTGTGTACATTACACACTGCATTGTACACTGTTGAATAAATAGTTCTTCCAAAGCCAAAAGATAAAGTGTCAAATAAATCAAAAAAGTAAACAATGTCAGAGTTATGGTGCCCCCTTGTGACAATAAAACAAAACATTTAGAGACAATTTTGCTCACCGTGCAAAATACTTAGCCAAGAACAACATAAAGTAGCACAGAGCACCAAAGATGATCACAAACATTATCTGCCAATCTTCAGGAATCCAGTCCCACAGATACACAACTATTCCCTAATAAACACATACAGGTACACAGACAAAATAAAACACAGATTCACCTGTGATTGGATCTTAATCTCCAGAAAACATGAAAATAAGAACATACTGTGGAAAAGTAGAGCGTTTTAGCCAATCCCTCTCCAACAAGACAGTCCAGTTCCTCTGGAGCGAAGGTGCTGATGATGAAGCTGAGGATGAAGAGCGATGGAAGGAAGATTCCCACAACTCCACACAGGAAATAATTAAAACGATTACTTTTATTGCTGCTCACATTCATCCTGAGGGAAGACAAATACATGCAAAGCTGATAAACATTACATATATGAGCTCTAGAGTCATGATGCAGAGCAGATGAAGTGATATAGTGAGGATGGATGGATGTGTACCGGTCCTGTTCCAGTGTATGGTTGATGGTAGAGATGATCAGGTTACAGTCTTTCTCCAGCTGGTCAAGTGTTTTTTGCACTGCCTGGTTTATGCTCTTCTCAATGGTCTCACAAACCTCATCAATCTGGTTGATGCATCTGCTGGGCTGCACACACAAACACACAAAAACAAAACTTAAATCATTTTATATTCACTTCATCAACTATCTATAGTAGTAGTATCATATGCAATAACATTGTAAAGCAAAAAGTGGACTAATGGAATGAAGAATTATTTTATGGTCATTACCAACAAATGTATGCATATTGGCATTGCCATTGAAAAAAATAAAATAAAGGGTTAGTTCACCCAAAAATGAAAATTCTGTCATTAATTACTCACCCTCGTGTTGTTCGAAACCAGTAAGACCTTCGTTCATCTTCGGAACACAATTTAAGATATTTTTGATGAAATCTGAGGGCTCTCTAACCTTCATAGACAGCAAGGTAACTACCACGTTCAAGGTCCAGAAAAGTACCAAGATGATCGACAAAGTAGTCCGTGTGGCATCAGTGGTTCAACTGTAAAGTTACAAAGCTACGAGAATACTTTTTTTGCGCAAAGAAAACAAAAATAACGACTTTATTCCACATTTTCGTCTCTACTGCGTCACTTGAGGACGTGCGCTCACAACAGTATCATGACGCAAGCGTGTGGCGGCGCTGACCCAGATCCGGTGTAACGAAATCATCACGCCGGATCTGGGTTAGCGCCGGCGCCACCACAGTTCTTTTTTATTAAAGTCATTATTTTTGTTTTCTTTGCGCAAAAAAGTATTCTCGTAGCTTTGTAACTTTACAGTTGAACCACTGATGTCACACGGACTACTTTGTC